TCTTATGATTATAATATACAGTTGATGAGAAATATTACTTGTTCTGAGTATTGTGACCCACCAGGTGCTTAAAACTTGTTGACAAAGTATGGAACATCAGTGGCAATATGTAGGAGTAAAAATTGTTCTGTTATTCTGCTCACTATAGCAATTGCATCATTGTTTCACAGAAAGGATAACATTATGATCCTGTGTGGGTGTATAGCTCATCTGTGGGAGGATGTTTCTGTGCATACTTAGTGATCAAAATTCAAGAAACACGCCTCATTTTTATGAATATTTTCTCATTAGGAATTTGGCTCATGTAAATGCATCACATAGTTTGTAGAAGCATTATATGGAAAAGGATAAAGAAGAAATGAATTTTTTTTTTTTTGCATGTACAATAAAAGCTTGAGCTACTGGAGAGAATTCCTGGGAGTATATAGTATCGTGGCTGTAAACCCAGTCTTTAAAATCTAAATTTAATTCTAACCTAAAAATAACTAGAATGTCAGAGGTGTACCTTTCCACAGCATGAATAGGTTTGTAAAGTATAGATTTATCCATATGCAATGCTATTTTCTCTTTAAAACTTGAGATATCTTTTGGGAAAGGATTTGGCCCCAAGTATTAATAAAACCCATACTTTAGAAGCAAGTATTTTAAAATCACCTGTTGATGGAGGTAAAATAACTTACTAATAAATAAACCTCCCAAAGTACCTAGAGCTGTTTAAATATTTAGCATGATAAAATGAATGCCATAAAATTACAGCTTAACAAAATATAACATAGTCATTTAGTTTCTATTCTTCTCCCTAATATAAAGTAGCAGGTTAATATGCACTCTCTCTGGTTTTGTTGTTCTTTTTTTTGTTTTGAGGCAGAGTCTCGCTCTGTCACCCAGGCTGGAGTGCAGTGGTGCGATCTTGGCTCACTGCAACCTCTACCTCTCAGGTTCAAGCGATTCTCCTACCTCAGCCTTCCGAGTAGCTGGGATTACAGGCATGTGCCACCACACCCAGCTAATTTTTGTATTTTTAGTAGAGGTGGGATTTCACCATGTTGGCCAAGCTAGTCTTGAACTCCTAGCCTTAAGCGATCCGCCCACCTAGGCCTCCCAAAGTGCTGGGATTACAGGCATGAGCCACTGTGCCTGGCTTCTATTTTTAATATGCTGCATCCTCACCCTTTGTGGAAAGCCTCTGGGTTTCAATAACTGACAAGCCGACCTTGCTGAAAGAAGATAGAGATACAGACAAGTAGAAGCAACTGTTCAACATAGTAAGCTATTGAAGAAAGAAATAAGTTTAATAGGAAAAAATAATCAATGAATTGGGGGAAAGTGTAATCAAACATACAATTCTGTGGATCTGAGAACTATTTGGAATGAGCTGGCAGATAATGTTATAAAAAGGTTACCAGTTTATGAATTCTACATATTTGATAATTTTGGGATAACTTTGGTGTTCCTGTATCACATGGTAATCCTATAAAATAGATCAAGTGTTTCTTAAAATACCATCTTTATAAATATCATCTTGGAGGCCTCACTCTGAATCAACTAGATCTGTACTTCTGGGAATCTGCATTTTAACCCACCCCTCAAATGATTCTTAATGCAGAAGTAAAATCTGAAAATTACTTAACTTAACTGAGTGTAGATTACATTGATTGCTTTTGCAATGATGCCATTATTTTCTCTTTCTGAAGACCCACTGTTTCCAAGACCCAGTTAAAAGCCACCTTTCTTGATTTGTTTTCACACAGAGTTTAGTTTCTTCCTCCTCTGCTGCTCTAGCTCCCATAATTGTGCCTTTGTTACACTAATCAAGAGTATCCCAAATCTCTTAATGCAGATTTAAACTTAACTTTACATACATAAGTGCTGCAAACTTATCAAAAACATTATTAAAAATGTATTTAAATTCATTTTACAATCATTTAGTTTTGTTTATTTTAAATAACAAGTTCTTAATTTTAATATTTATATGTGGCGTTTTTTTGGACTGGTAGAAAAACTTGACCACCTCAATCACCTCATATATCTCCCTTAAACTTTGTCTTTCAGGGTCATGTCAAAATAGTTGAGTGTGCACCAATATTTTGTTCTTCAGATAATCTTAAATCTAGGATCACAGATGTCATCCTTTCTGTCACTAACCCGCAGCTAGTAGAACTTTTTAAAAAGTTTGAAATTTGACTAGAGCAATGTATAGTACAATCCAGTATACTATACGTTGAATTTGATTTCCTGTTGAATTTTAATAAAAATATATTAATATCTTGAAATTTTAAATAATTTGCCTTTTATCTATTGATTTGTGTAATTGTGTATCATTTATACTTCTGAAGTTAAAAACACTTAAAACAGCATGAGTACTTTTAAATTCTGTGTTTTAACTTATTTGTGTGAATTCCTATCTCCCTAAACAGCCCTTCTCTTAAAGTCAGGGGCCATGTTTTATTCATCCTTTTATCCCTAGTACGGTTGATTAATATTTGCTGAATCAAGGCGAAAAATATGTCTATTTTATATTGTCTAATTAATATATTCAACATTATTTAAATATTACTAACTATATTTAGATATAGGTAGCATATTTAAAATGTAATATTAATATAGCATCAAACATATATTTAATACTATTTATTGTGTTTCCATACATTGCAGTTATTATCCTTTTAGATGCTCAGATTATTTCATGTTTGGCCAGGGGGAATCTCTTCCTGTTGAGTCCTGAGTCCTACTAACACAAGAGTCAACTCCTGTGTAGTAGTAGTCTTGATACGCTACTCCTAGTAGTCTTTGATAACTTCCTTCTGTCTTGTATCACAGTATAATCCAAGCTCATCTTGTACATTTCCTCTTCCAGATCTCAAATCAGCCATTTTCCAAGAAAGCCTGGGAAATGTGGTTTTCAGACCGTAAACTCTGGGAAGTGTATCATTACTAGCTAGGTCATTGTTCCTATGCCTTTTCAGGTTGCAGAGCTAAGAAATACATGCATACATATATATATGTATGTACATAGATAATACTTCAAGAGGCGCCAGCATGTTATTTAACTTCTTCAATCTTATATATGTGTCAGCTTTATCCCATGCTAAAAATACTTAACAATGACACTGGAGTGATAGAATGGCAGTCATATAATTGTTCAGTTATTCATCTTACAAAGCACACACAACAGATTCTGCATGACAATAATCACGACACTACCATCTAACATCATATGATTACTGAAAACAGTTTAAGATTATTTTAACAGTTCTTTTTGTTGGATCACACTAGGAATGTGCTAGTAAATTTTTATATTTTAAAGATACTTGAAATAGTTACTTTCTGTATGATTATTATCCACTGCTAGAGTATACATGCAGATCATATTTACTTTTTTCCTTGAAGAGAATCCCTTTGAATGTTTAGTCATACCCTCTGATTCTGGAAGGTAGACAAATAATGGAATTTGCATACATTGCAGCTGAAGCAAGCTATAGAAGCAGCATGCAGAAACTGGGCAACTTACCAACTTTTCCCAGATTATCTCTCCTTTGGCATATGAGTCCTTCAGAAAGACAAGACCCAAATCTTAAGTATTTCTTTGAATTTGTAAAATATACTTTAGTTTTATTTTTAAACCTTTGCCCCTGATCTGAGTATGTATTTCTTCTGACAAGGCATTGTGGTGAAGTTGCATTATCAAAAATTGTGTTGAACAACATTCCTTTTTGTTAAAATTAAATTCGGGAAAAAATGAACTGGAATATCATTTCTTAAAATATTCAGTACTGTGGAAATGGGTGGGTTTGCTTCTTCAAAATTAGCCAAATAATAATTTTATTTTTTGAAGTAAAGTTAGTTTTTTAAAGTTAAAATAGTGATGGCCAGGCGCGGTGGCTCACGCCTATAATCCCAGCACTTTGGGAGGCCGAGTCGGGCCGATCACCTAAGGTTGGGAGTTTGAGACCAGCCTGACCAACATGGAGAAACCCTGTCTCTACTAAAAATACACAAAATTAGCGGGGCATAGTGGCACGTGCCTGTAATCCCAGCTACTCGGGAGGCTGAGGCAGGAGAATCGCTTGAACCCAGGAGGCAGAGGTTGCTGTGAACCGAGATTGCGCCATTGCACTCCAGCCTGGGCAACAAGAGCAAAACTCTGTCTCCAAAAAAAAAAAAAACTAAAATAGTGACACTAATACATGGTTAAAATGTATTTATCACTTAATGTATGTCAGATTCTATTGATTTATCTCATTTTGTCACTTAATTCTTATAACAGTTTTATTGGGTTGTTACCAATATGCCCGTTTTATAAATTTCGTGAGGAAACTGTGCCATAGAAACATTGTCTCTAAGCAAAGATCAGTTTGTTGTATTGCTGCTTATTGTATATCCAGTAACTGCAGGTTAAAAGAAAAAAGACCATGGTGGCTTTTGAAAGAATTTTTTGTAATTCCCGGGACTTAAATTTAGGTGAGAACTATGAACTGGGTAATTATTATTAGTTTATGTATTAATTTTAAATGTGTACTGTAAAGTATATTTAATAGCTTGCAATAGTTAAAAATATGAAATTATTTGAGATTTTGATAGGACTATTGAAATAAATGTTAGTGTGTTTTTTAATGTTTTAATCGATAATAAATTAGTATTTGAAATGTTAGGGACATTTCAACAAAATACATTTATCACGTGTAAAAGCTTAGATGGAAAATGATTACAATATTTTTTCAATATTTGTTTTTAAAAGTCTACTTAATGTATATTGTCTTTTAGTATGCATTTAAAGGTAGTAAAATTAGAATGTACAGTTAAGCAAAAATAAGGATATCCTCTGTTAGTGACCATCAGCGCTAACCATTATTAATATTTTGGTATATAGCAGCCCAGATTTTTCCTATTATTTTTGCTTGAATTGTTAAGACTTTTAAAATTATAGTGTAATTTCTAAGAAAATATTTTAAAAGAATGCTTGGTATTTTGAATCTAATGTGTATGGTTCTTTTTTTCAGGATTGTACTGTATATGAAACAGAGAATAAAATTCTTCACGTGGTGAGTACACTTGGATTTATTTTAATCTTTATTAGAGAATATTTCCTTGATCAACTAAAAGAAGTGAACCATAAGAAAAAAATCTACTGACCATATCAGTTAAGTGTATTTTTATAGGAAATCTACAAAAGAATCAAAGCATAACAAATTACGTTAGTTATAACCATTCTATTGTACCTAATAGGAAAAAAAGATACAATATTTTTAAATTGTAATATGTAGCAAGGTTGGAATGTAATAAAAAATTAATAATGTAGAGCAAGGAGAATTTGAAATGAGAATTTCTTTTACTGTTCATCTATTACAAAAAAAAGATCAGAGAAAGGTATTCTGTTCTATAATGGGTAATTAATCTCTATCATCATTTGGATGAAATACTTTATTAAAAAAATCAAATTTCCTTTGCTCCAATTCTATACTTACCAGACAACCTTTCAAATGGTAATATGGCAATATTTTTGAATCAGTTAATGACTTTACATATATTTTATTACTAGAAATGGGCTATGGATACATTTTACTTTGTTGAAAGGCCATCTCCTGTCTTCTTAATGAACAGTTGGCCACTTTTATTTGTAAATGCATTTCTTGATCAATGCTGGTTTGTCCTAATAACTTCTTCACCTCTGGTGTGTGTGAAATCATGTCATTTCTGCATCTGCCAGGTACTAGGCGGTGAAGATTCATATGTCTGTAAAAGGACATTTGCCTCATTTATTCCTAATATCAGTTTATAAGTTTTATGTTTCTGAAATGTTTGAATATTTATAAAAGAATACTATTTTGTATTTAGAAAAGTAAATACTTTTAAAATGTCTGAATGTATGTATGGAGGGAAATCAGAATATCAGCGGTACAGCATCCCTATTCCTTTTTTGTTATCTACTATAGAAATGGTACTGAATAATCCTCTGCTAATCCTCTCCCCCTCATTGTGCAGTAGGGATGCCCTTTGTGGTTTATAAGAATAGTCTCAGGAGTGGATAATTAATGTATTTTTCTCCTTATTAGTCCAAGAGGGAAAATAATTACAACTCCCTCATGTTGATCTACCTGTAGGGCCTGGAGAATAGAAAGACACTAATATTTATTTAGGGCCTATATATTTCAAGTATTAGCTTAGTTTCTATAAGTGTATTCTCTCATTTAATCCTACTTTTGCAGATGGTGGAACTAAGGGTCACAAATATTAAGTTGTTCAACTATTCAGTTTGAACACAGAATCTCATACCAAAGCCCATGCCCTTTCCAGATCTGGCAGTTGCTACCAATTCTAGTTCCCTGAGGCTTTACAAATTGTACTATCTTTTTTCCCATGAAACCCAGGGCTACTGTCTAGCTGTGCCTATTTTGTCAATAACTAAGGAGCATGCACAGAGCCTTTCCCACCTACATTTTATTTTCTGTGAGTGACTGTTTCTTTGGCGTTGAATTTTCTGTGACAATGACTGTTCTTTCTGAAGTATTGAATTTACTGAATTCGACTTTAGTACACTGCTGTGGGTTCTTCATTGTGTTTACTTCAAGGCTGTTATTGAGGTCAGTGTGTGTTAACATTTTTTCTTTATCAGATTTCTCAGGAGTAATCTCTCCCTGATGTTAGTACCAAAAAGAGCTGTACTTTTCTTTATGCATTGGCTGCTACGAACTTAAGATTAAAATTTGTGGCTCATAATGGACAAGTGCATCTCATGGTATTTGTTTTGTATTTAGCTTCATTCTTGGCTCTAATTTATATACATGATTTCTTTTTGCCTTGTTTTTCTCAATTAATTTATGTATGGTATATATTTTTACATCTGTTGATGTAGCCTTTTCTGTGGAGGAATAGTTCCAGTTACAAATGCACATTTGTGATCAATATTCAGATATCAACAAAGGACATGTAAATAATTTATAGAAAAAGAATCTCTAGAGAACTGTAAAAAATATGAAATTTTATTTCTGAGGAAATTTCAGATTCCACCATATGACAGAATAACAGAAATAAATTTAAATGATGAAAGAAATACTGTGGGATTTCTCTTGTACTAAAGACCTTAAATATCATTTTAATTAATTAGACTAAGGAAAAATCTCTTTGGGGTTATAAAATGATGATTGAAATTTTATTAAATAAAAACCATAATAAGTAATAGCCAAATTTTAAAAGTTCTTAATCACTAACTATTTTTAATTTTAAATAATTTTAAAATAATAAGTAATTTTTAGTTTCTTAAATAAATTCCTAATAATTGACTCATATTGACTTATCTTTCTTAAAAGCCAGATTCTGGGCTACTTGCTATTAGAAATAAGTAACAGCGTAAATAGTACTGAAGGAGTTTAGAAATGAATGCCATATGTTTACCTTGGCAATTTTGCATTCCAGCTAGTGAGAATTTAAAAATCCTGTCTGATGATGATGGCAACAGTGAATGGCATTAACCAAATCAGTTCGTCTCAGGAAGCACTTGTCTTTTCATGTTATTCTTCTACTTCCCATCCTGACCGTTTTATACAAAGATTACCCAGCCTTTCCTAAAAGGTTGTATGTATACTTGTATATTACTTTTCTCACAAGAATAGTTAATTTTTTGGAATAATAAAATAGTATACAGTACCACTTAGTATATGATGCTAAAGAAAATTTCTAGAACAAGTATCTTTCCAGATCTCTATAGTGTAGAAGAAATAACTTTGAGTCTAAAAACCTGTGTCTGAATCCTAATTCTACCGTTTTCTATCTCGGTGAGCTGAATCAAGTGATGTTCTTGAGAGTTTGTTCTAATTATGTAAAATGGGGATATTAATATCTTTCATGAATGATTGTTGCTAGGAGAAAATAAATAAGTAAATTTTCTAGACAGAGCTTTATAATCTGGTAGTCCTCTTTCTAGTATTTATTTATTCATTTAGGTTATATCTCATTATTTAGGTTTTTTGTTGTTGTTGGTTGGGTTTCTTTTTTTTTTGAGACAGTCTTGCTCAAGCTGGAGCTTATACACCCAGGCTGGAGTACAGTGGCATGATCTCGGCTCACTGCGAGTTCCATCTCCCAGGTTCACGCCATTCTCCTGCCTCAACCTCCCGAGTAGCTGGGACTACAGGTGCCCGCCACCACGCCCGGCTAATTTTTTTGTATTTTTTAGTAGAGACAGGGTTTCACCCTGTTAGCCAGTATGGTCTGGATCTCCTGACCTCGTGACCCACACACCTCGGCCTCCCAAAGTGCTGGGATTACAGGCATGAGCCACCGCACCCGGCCTATTTAGGGTTTTTAATTTCCTCTTTCTCTCCTTTTTATATGCACCAGAAAATCAAAAGCCTGAGTTTTTATATAGCTTGTTTAGGATGAAATTGTGAGTTAGTTTTAATGTTTTCCTTGTTTCTATGATACTCAAATATTCTAAGTACATTATGATTTATAATGGCTCCTTTTCAAAGATGAATTAATATGTATTCTATATGAGCATCTTAGCCTGGGTTCTTTCTGGAAAACAGAGCCTACAACAAAGGCTTGAATGCAGATAGTTTATGTTGATTAGTTATCCCAAGGCACAGAAGAGACACTGGGAAGGAGAATCAATATGGATTCTAGAATTGTTCACCACTATAGGGAACTGAAGTTCGATCCCATCAGGACCTTCTGAGAAGCCCTGTAGAATGTGCCTCAGAATTGTCCAACCTGACTGACAAAGATTGAAGAGGGAGAATGTATCTGCTGGCACTAATCCAATTATCCCATTGGTCAAAGATTGCTCCTTGGGTTGTTAACTCTCACACTACCAGGTTTTTGGAGGTACCAGAGACCTCTAGGACAGAAAGCAAAGGTAGTACAACTGAAGTGAAGCAGATTGCCACAGCAGTAGCTGGAGAAAAAGTGGTTTGAGTGGGGAGTCTAGTACAATGAAGCGCCTCTAAGTGGCAATCCAAATTTTAAAGTATTTTGGATCACATAAAGTATCCTGATAGTGATTGACATCAAGATCTGCATAACTCACAAAAGCAAGCTTCAAAACAATAGATATAGCATAACATTTGTGTAAAAAAGCAATGTATTTATAGTGAAGAAAATAATTTGAAGAACTATGCAATAGACTTAATGTTGGTTGCCTTTGCAAGGAATAGGATAAATTTTAGGGGCATTAACTTTAAATTATGTGTTTGTATAATGGTTAAATATAGCATAACAAGTATGTGTTAATCAGAAAAAGAAAGTACTAAAATATCTGTAGAAATGCCTGAATAGCAGCCCAAAATCTAGATTAAAAATGAGTATTTTATAGTTAGATACAATGAATTAGATCTACTACTTGATAGCACAACAGAGTAACTGAGGGACTACAGTCAGCAATAATTTGTTGTACATTTTAGAGTAACTAAGGGAGTATTACTGGAATGTTCATAACACAAAGAAATGATAAATGCTTGAGGTGATGGATACCCCCATTTACCCTGATGTAATTATTACACATTGTATGCCTGTATCCAAATATCTAATGTACTCCATAAATACCTAATGCATACCTACTATGTACCCAGAAATCTTTTCTAAAAGATAAGTATTTTTAACAAATGAGTAAGAGTTTCAAATGGGTAAGGAGTGAAAACAGTGCTAGTAGCCAACCATTGACTAACCTAAAGAACATGGCTGAAATCTTTCTAATGCCAGGCAGATTTAGAATCCTATGTAATATATTAATAGTTCTTAGGAACCTCTTCACTTTAGTACATTGGACTGTGAGTTAAATAGGTTTTTAGAACATCCCCAGTGATGGCTGCCGTTTAGAAGGAACAAGGAGACCCCAGATTACTGAATAGAGATTATAGTAGCTTGAGATAGGCACTAGAACATCAACTGTCTTAGCCTAAACCCTACCCCTAAATCTTTATTTTGTCCAGAGGATAGGGAAGGCAATTTTCAAGAGGAAGGAGAACTTATCACTTATGAAAACTTGTTATAGCCCAGGAATTCCATAAGGCAGTACAAGTTGAGTGTCCCTTATCTGAAATGCTTG